CGGCCGGGGCCCCGCCGGGGGTTGCTCGCCGTCCCGCCGGTGAACCCCCCCTCTCCCCCCCCCTCTTCCCGCCGCGTTCCCGGCGCCCCGGGAAGGGGTGTGACGCCGGGGAGGCGTCGGGGAGCGGGGTGAGAGCTCCGCAGAGCCGGGACGTTTCCGTTACTCCGCGCGGGGCGGGCGGGAGGACGCGCTGTATCCCTCGCGCGACAGCTGAGGAGAAAATTAAGCGTTTCCACGCGTGTTTCTGCCTAGCGCTACCGGTACCGGCCCCGGGAGGGGAGCGGCGGGGTCCCCGGGGCCGTGCCCGTCGCCGCCGGCCGGGGACGGGGAGCGGCTGCGGGAGCTTTTTGCGTGAGGAGAGGGAAGGAAGGTAGGGGGGAGCTGGGTGCGGGTGTTTGGGAGGAGGAATTCGGAAGGTTTGGCGTTGAGGTGTGGAAAAGTTTAAAAACACCCGACCCTGCAGCCCTATCGGGGGTTAATTCGGGAAACGGGGTGTCGTGCAGGAGCTGGCACCGGAGTCGTCCCCGGGTGGAGGTTGAAGCAAAACCCCTCCGCACCCAAACCCCCCCCACACACACCCAAAACCACACACACACCCCAAATCCGTCTCTTAAGGACACCGGTCTGTCGGTCACGGTGAAAAGGTGTGTGGTTTTCCGCCCCCGGGGGTACAGGGTCACAGGGTACCGCCGCCGTGTCCCGGGGAGCTGCCTTGCTCTAATTAATGAGGAAAACCGAAAACCCCCTGGGCCAGAAATGACAATAAATAAATAATGTGTATTGGGAGCCTCAGGGCAGGAAAAAGAAGATCAAACTGCTGATAACGCCTGTTTGTGACTCGGCTCCTTTTTTTTTTTTTTCTTTTTTTTTTGGTCCCGACGTTTAAAGCCCTACACCCAGAATTTTACCCCAAATGTACACGTGTAAAGAAAATCGTGCCGTTATCTTTATGGAAATACAGGGAAATTCTGCCAGTGAATTCAGATACACTTTCTATTGTGATTTTTAAACCGGGTACTTTTAAGGAGCTTAAATTTTGTCAAAGCAGTCCAAGAGAGCTTTTTTTTTTTTTTTTTACTACATAAAATAAAGTACAGAAAAAGTGTTATGACCCGTTGTTACTGGGGGAGGGGAAAGGTAAAAATGTATTTGTTTAGTCACGAGTGTTACATGTAAAAGCTGCTCATCGGGGAAATAGATCTCGTTACCTTAAGAGCTGCTCATCTGGAAAATAGATTTTGTTACTGGTTTAGTGCAGAAAATAGATCTTTCCATTCAGAAGGGCTTCTGGTGTGCTTGAGCAATAAATAACAATAGGAATTTAACTACGTCATTTGTCTATTTTGTTTCCTAAAATATTTGTCTTAGTGTTTATATGTCCTAAATATTTCTCATTATTTTCTAATATTTTTCTTTATGTCCACGTGTTTCCCGATGATATTTAGGAAAGAGAAGGGAGATCCCTGTGTATCTCAGGCACGCTGCTGTCCCTTCCGCTCAGGACGGACAGGCTCAGTCATTTTTACAGGGAGATGCTCCTGTTGCTGTGGTTTGGGCTTTGTGTGTTCTTTTGCCAAAAATATCCAAGAATATGGGTGAGACTTTCTTGTCTCGAAAATTACCAGTGTTTCTGTGTATGGTGAGCTCTAAGTGAGGTTGTGTTTTGCTGTCTTAAGGTTTCTTCTTACTATCCTGGCATTGTTTTTACTTGGGTTGTTTAAGGGGAGTTTGATTGGGGGTTTTTTGTTTCTTTTTTCTTTTCTTCCTTTTCACACTCTCAGTCTTGGCAGTTTCTCTGCAGCATTTTTGGATCGTACAGCCTGTGTAGCTCCCAAATCTTTATATTGGATGCCCTTCAGTTTTTCAGTTTAGTATCTAAAATCCACCTTGTACAGTTGATATTTACATGTGTTTGTGTTGGGAAATGAGTGTTCTACCTTGTGTCACTGAACCTAGACCAGTGCTGTTGAGGTCAGCTGTAATGTTTGTGTAAATGTTTTACCAACTTGTTGAACTCAGTTAACTTTCAACTTCTTCAATTCAGCATGTTTCACTGCTCGTATTGAGTGATGATAAACTCAGATTTGAATAAAGCAACTCGGCTGATATTTTTGTATGCTTCTGTGACCTTATAATTTGCCTGATACGTAGTCCACTCCTACTAGCTGAAAGGGAAGGTGCAGCAGTGCAGGCACAGTGTCTCTCCTCGCGGTGCTCCGAAGTGGTTTTCATTAGGAATCTCTGGAGTGGAATAGCTGTTGCTTCCATCCTGCTCCAGGTGTGTGCCTAACGTATTTGCCACTGATGCTGATTATTGTTGCTCATTTATAAAGGCAGTAAGCGGAGCCTGCTGTTGGTTGTCTGTGCATTTTACCTGCTGCACTGCTTGCTTATTTTAATGATCTTGTGCTCCTATTACTGTTACTCTGTTTTCTCCTTTCTGTTTGTTGCTCATTTTATCCATCCTGTTGTATTCTGATAGCAGCTAGGATTTTAAGTTGTTGAGAGGCGCACTTTTGGAAATATTTTTCCTTCTCAGTAACTAATCCCTTGTCTATCTCTACCTTCAGTTTTTTCCTCCGTTCTTTCTTCTGACTGGCAAATTCCTTTTCCATTGCCATTTCTGTTACACACTGCCCATTTCTCTCTGTTGTCTCTGATTTCTTACTCTCCTCATTTATTTTTATGCTTCTTGAGGCCACTGTTTTGCTACTGCACTTGGTTAAATGATCTGAACCACTCATTGAAGAGGCTCAATGTGCTTTTTTTATTTTTAACAAGGGTGGAGAAAAATAAAATTTTTCTGAATTTCTTGAATTTTATTTTTCTGTCTTTAGGAGGTTAAAGGTAGAAAAGGAAAAAAGTCAGGGGAGAAATAGAGAATGGGAAGTGTGAAGAGGTGGTGGATGTCTAAGAAGGGACAGAGAAGAGAAGTTCCGTGAGGGAGTGTTTCATGGGAGGCTAAGGTTCATCCAGTAGTAGATCTGGCAAGAAAAGTATGTGTTAATGATGGCAGTTGCTTGGATATTTTCGGATTATCAGAGATATTCCGAGGCTTGCATAAGTGTCACATGTGCCATTTGTAATAGGACTCTGGAGTTTGTTGTTAAGGCAGGTGCTGGTTGTATTTATGATGGATCAGTAAGGAAAATCCTTACATTGCATGAGAATAGCATTTCTTCTGGCCACCTGCAAGGTAGTACTCACTCATGTGGCTTATGTTGTGCAACTTCTTGGATTTTCAGTAGACCTTCTTGTAGTGATGAAACAAAAGTGGGTAATGCCAGCTGCATCTTGGTACAAATCCATAGCTATAAAGCTGCCAACTGGCTCAGCACTTTTCATGAACTCTGTTCAGGTGTTACAGGCTAGAACTAAGTTTTTACTCATTTCCCCGTAACCCGTGAATGCTTTAGAAACCACTGCAGTTGGGGTTGGTCTGTAACAGAGGGTGGTCAGGGCTATTGCCTATTTGTGGAATGGTGAAGTCACTTCTTCCTCTTCTCAGAGTGTGCTTCTGAGGCAGAGTGGATTAAGAGCTTGTGCTTCTGCCCGTGGCTCTCTGCATCTATTAGGAACAGGAGGATCAAAATAAAGGTCACAGAGGACAGGCAAGGTTACCCTTCTGCAGTGGGCTGCCGCGTTTAGTTTGCCCTAGAGAGAGCTGAACGCTCGAGTGAGTTAGAGAGACACTCGAGGAGTTACCCAATGTGACACTGTTCACTGAGGACGGGTAAAAGTTAATCTTGCTTTGCTGTAACTGGGGACAAAGGTGAAGGATGGAAATAATAAAAGTTGTATAAGGGCTAAATCTGGGTTAAAAGGTAGTAGAGGATAAGTGAGTTCTTTGGGCGTGGGAGAATGGTGTGTGGAAATAGAGGCTATGTCAGATTCACATAGGAAGGAAAGGAGAGAAATTAGCATTAGGAAGGAATAAACGTTGGATAGAGATGGCAAATAAAGGTTTTGAGAGAATGAACATAGTGGGGCTGAGCAGATCACTGAAAGACAACCAAATGCAAGGGCTAGAGGTGGGTGAGAGGGTCTTAGGCAGAGCAGATGAACAGACATATGAAGTAGAATATTCAGTGCTCTGGGCAGATGGATGTGTCACCAAGTGTCTGGAGAATGATAAGAAGCTGTTTGCACCTTCTCTGTGCCGAGTGTTGTGTGTGTATGTCAGTGCAGGCCATACTGCATATGGTGGGGCATCTGGCCACATGCTCTTTTCTGCTGTTAAAATGCAAATAACAAAGATAGCTATATATTCTTCTCCTTTTTACTTGGGCACCTAATGAACCCTATCATTGCTGTGCTTGTATCTTTCCTTTATTAGATTTTTTTTTAGGAAAAAATATGTGCAAAGAGATATGTAATAACAGAGAGGAGGTCTAGTTTTATCTTGATATCCAATACCGCATCACACAACTTTGGGGCCTTGGCTTATAGAAGCTGTTGTTTAAAGCTGTGTATACAACCTGGGTGTTCAGGGCAACTGGTCTAGATGTGACAGAAGGGTGAAGTTCTGTTGGATTTTTTCATAATTCTGAAAATGAGAATGGCGTCAGGAGAAAACAATGAAAAACCAAGATCAAGACAGAAAGGAAAAGCATGAAAAATACTAAGAAGCAGAGCCCAAGCACATCTTACAGTTTGGTCCCTCTGGTGCAGCACAGGCTTTTCTTGGGGACAAGGATGCAGCTGGAAGGATATGCCATCAGTCTCTCTGTGCACTAATCTCTCCCAGCAGCTGTTCTTAGCCAGAGATGAAATTCTCTTTGTTTGTGACTCTGAATAACACTTGTGTTCTGCCACAACATCTCAAGTATGTAAATGTTAGGGCACAGCGGTTCTGCCCTGAGCTCCCCTTTGGTGATGCTTATTTTCAGATAGCATTTGGGCTTTTTGGAGGTTCTGGGGACTCTAGGTGTTGAGAACCTTGAAGCCAAATCAGAGAAAAAAGAAAGTCTAAATAAAGTCAAAACTAGAAATATTGGGAAGCAAAGTACTTTACCGCATTTTGGAAATGGAGAAATGTTTACTCTGAAAGAACAAACCATTTAGATGCAGTTGTAGCATTAAGTGAAGTAAATCACATCTTTTGGATGAGGAGTTGAAAAGCATCTAAAGGGCAGAATGTATGTGTACAGACTGTTCGGGTTTTTTTGTTTGCTTTGTTTGTTTTTTTCTCTACAGACTTTTTAAGGAGAGGGCTCTTGGTAATTTCCATTTCTGCTTTTTTTTTTTTTTTTTTTTTTTTTTTTTTTTTTTTGTCTACAGGACCTACTGCAGCTCTGTGATTGCTGATCCATGCTCGACTGCCTCAAGGGGTCCTGGCAAGATGGCATCTTCCAGACTTCTCATCCTTCTAGCACTGGCATTTTCTTCTTTGTCCTTTGTTCTTTCCCATTCAAACAGGGAAATGTGGTTTCAGGATTTCTTTCCACCTAACATGTGCCCTATAAATGCCAAAGCCAACACTTTTTATGGCATAATGTTTGACGCAGGAAGCACTGGAACCCGGATTCACATTTACACCTTTGTGCAGAACAGCCCAGGTGAGACCCTGTGTCAGTCTGTGCACTTGGACTATGTTGACTTAGGTTCCAACTTCCCAAAAGAGTTTTGTGGTTTTTTTCCAACACAGCATTTGGGAACAACTGAAGATTTCATAGAATCGTAGAGTGGTTTGGGTTGGAAGGGACCTTAAAGATCGTTTAAGTTTCAGCCCCTCTGCCATGGGCAGGGACATAGATGCAAGCTGCTCTTGGAGCAATGGTCATGCTTTTTTGGCTTTGTAACCAGGTGCTTGAGCTGTCAGCTCTCTTCTGTGTTTGTGAATTGGATGAATTACCTAAGAATAATCAGAAGTTGACTCTGTGTGTCTTAATGTGAGTTAGTATTTCACAATTAGCTTGGGGATAGCAAGGGAAATGAATGTTACTAAAATTAGGCAACAGCCATACTACATTGCTATAACTCATTGTAGTTCACAAATGCAGATTGAACATACTGCTAATTATAATACGTTCTTAATAAATTGTTTGTGAACTTGGAGGATTCAAGGGCAACATTTTGTTAAATATGCTCCTGAAGTGAAGGAGCAGTGCTTGTTTTAGGAGGGAATAGTATTGTTTGCAAGGGGGAATCAAGGATAGTCACTTTACAGGGGTTGCAGGCAACTTTTTTAAAACTAAAGAAAAGGATTACAGTTGTTGACTGTTTAATGTAATGTTTCGTTTGTGCAGAAGACCTTCCAGAGTTGGAAGGGGAAATCTTTGAATCTGTGAAGCCAGGTCTTTCTGCATATGCTGATCAGCCTGAAAAGGTAAGGGTCTCCTTCATTCCCTGTGAGTTGGTCTTGCTTCTACTGATACCAGTTGGACTCTACTAAGCAGTTCAAAGTATTACTAATTGCAATTGCATAGAGTCAAGAAAAAATGTGAAGGTTCTCCTGCTGGCTCTCTAAACCTGTTGCTCTACTTTTGTGAGTTAATTTCTACACAGTGAAATGGGAGCTGTTGTTTTACATATTTTTTCAATGGAGCAATGGCTTAATTAATTGCTTAAATGCTGTATATTCCTAGACTATTTGCCTATGAGAATTTCAAAGACAAAGTGATTTTTTGCTCTAGCTGCATCCATATTCAATGTTTATTTCCCCTATAGCTTCCGTAAATATGAGTAAATATATACTCCTGTCTTGTTTACTAATAATTTTCTCAGTTTTTCCTTTTGGTTGAAATTTTCAATGCTGGTCACAGTTCAAAATGTATATATTTTGTTTAGATTTGTTTGGAAGGAAGGGGTTAAGACTGTGGGGATTTTCTTTTCTAGTCCTGTTACACTGACAAGGAGAGAGGGTTCATTTCTCTGACTCCTAAAACTGTTTAAATTTTTGTGTCTATATATTGTCAGATCTACTTTTTGTTAATAAGTTATGGAGAAGGGAAGAATAAAGACGCACTTAGCAGGTTAGGTCAGGCCTTAATAAAACAGGGAGGCCTGTTTTCTGATGGCCTGTAGGAGGAAGCCATAAGAAAAGCATCTTTTTCCTTCTAGGGTGCTGAAAGTGTCAAAAAATTGTTGGACATGGCCATAGATGCTGTGCCACCTCATCTCTGGAAGAAGACCCCAGTAGTGTTAAAAGCCACAGCTGGACTGCGCTTGCTGTCAGAGGAGAAAGCTCAGGCTCTGCTTTTAGAGGTAATACTAAGATCTTTTGGACGCACTAGTATTGCTCTCACTGTTTCATCTTTCGTGACTCAGTTCTCCATCTCTATTTAGCATAAGAGAATCTCAGCTGTGAAAAGTGACTGTAATCCCACGACAGCATGAAACTCACAGACTTTACAGGCTTTCTTGTATGGTCCTGAAATCCTTTGTCTTGATATGGATAGAAGACACAGGGAGAGAGACCTACGATACTTGTTTCTTTCTTTCCTGGCCCTTGAAAGAGAAAAAATGTTGTCTACTCCACACACTTGTCTTATTTTCTACTGCTGTAAAAAAAGAAAACTTTCTTGTCGTCCTCAGAGCAGAACAGTACCAGGGAACATAATCATTATTTCCTTCTTCAGGTGAGAGAAGTCTTTGAGGAATCACCATTTCTTGTTCCAGAGGACAGTGTTAGCATCATGGACGGGTCTCATGAAGGTACGTTTTAGAAGGAGGAAAAAGTGAAAGCAAAGAAAAATGGGAGAAAAAGAGAGAGATCTTAAGAAAATGAGAGGGAAAGGGAAATGGTCACTAAACTAAGGGAAAAAATAAAAGGTTTCTAGCCCTGTTTGAAACAATGTAATCCTGCTTTTCCTAGGAGGTGCTGATAACTTGCTCCTCTGTAGACACACAAAGAGATTTATGAGTTAGCTAGATTTGAAGGTTCATCCAAAACCTTCTAAGGTTCCAGAAGAGAACCTCATCTCAGAAATCAGGGATCTAGGTGAAGCCTGCTCTTGGGAATTGGTGGAAAGAAGATGGTGTCCACTTCTGAAAGGCTACATGATAATAGATAGCAAGTGAGGAAACTTATGGAAAGTGCCTAGTAAAAATAATCTATTATGATTATCTCATCAATTTTCAGGTTAAGGATGGAAGCATTGTGAATATTAGAGGAAAGTTAAACATAATTAGCAAGTAGTAAAAAATTAGATAATGAAATACATAATAAAGTAATAAATTTTAAAAATATTCTGATTGGAAAAATGCAGCTAGTAAAGTAGCAAAGGAAGAAATCTAAAATGCAAGAAAAGGTTAATTATGTTGTAGGTTTGCAGTGCAGTGCAGAACAGCCACTGGAACGTTTTGGCTACATATCCAGAGGCATTGCCTTGGAGAGTAGGCAGGCAATAATCCTTCTGTAGGGTGCCTGATAAGAGCTATCTGTGATGGTACATTCAGTTCTGAACAATTCATTATGGCAGATGTATTGTCAGTTTGGAAGGTGTTCAAGGACAGCAAAAAGAATTATCACGGTGCTTAAACAACTAATAAATGGAGGAAGATTAAAGAACAAAATCTGTCCACGTGGGCCAAGAGAAAAGGAGAAGTAACAAAGTCTGCGAGTATCTGATGAAGTATGGTGCAATGCATAGAGCGTCACTAGGATTAAGGGGTGAAGTATTGTATTGATGGGGAGCAGGATCAATAACACATAATAGAGCAAGGTGTAGCCTGCCAAGATGTATTTTAAAATCCCACCTCTTCTACTATCGTGTGTTGGCCCATGTTTGGGTGAGAATTGTGCCAGTGTCAGGCAAGTCGCTGGAGTCGGAATAGTTGTTTGTGTTTTACCGGTTGCCACAATGTCTGTAGCGTAATTACAGAAACCACAAGATTAAAACACAGAGTGGTATGTATGCAGTTTTCCAGTTAGGAATTGAAATGCTGGAAGGAAAAATGTGCCCAAGGAAGCTTGTGCATTGTATCAGCTCATTACTTCTTTGGATGTTGTTTGGATAATCGACATGACTTGTGCATGCTGCGGTTGCAGGGGTATTACAAACATTCTACCTAGCCCAGTTTATGAGATTTTAATAATTCAATAATGCATTGTGTCACTTAAATTATACATTTAAATTAATCTCTGAAGTATGGGGCAGTTACGTTAATAATGATTTCTGGGTAAATAAGTAACATGTGGAGAGCTGGTAAGGGTGGGCGGGGGGTTGTGTGAGTATTCAGTGGTGACTTTTTTTTTCCCTCTCCTTTTTCACTCTGCAGGAATTTTAGCCTGGATCACTGTGAACTTTTTGACAGGTATTTAACTCTGTGTAACTTCTGTCTTAATATGAATTTGAGTCTCTTCTGAAGAGGTGATCACTGTTCCTCTTCCTTGGTTGCCATGTCCTGCTTTTCCTCCCCACTGTGACACCAGTGCTAAAGCAGTGGATTGGCTTGGGTAGGCTGTGTTCCAGGGAGAGCACCACAGCTGTAGTGAGAAGGAGGCATCTTCATCCAGAAGGTGCCAGGATTTACTCAGGACTGGGAGGCACTAACAAGCTGGTTTGCCTAACACACCTAGGAGAGTTGTACTGCTGATCTGTTAGAAAGCGGGAAACAGTTTTACCATGTTCTTCATCCCAACATGAACTATGCAACTAAAGTTGTGCAACAGGGAATGCACTGGTGCTTCAGCCCCACTGGCTCTGGAAAGTTCTGGGAGCACAATCTGGTGAAGAGAAAAGAAAATCAGTACTCCAGTGGATACATGAGCAAGCAAAAAAGGTGCTCTGGGTGAAGAGAAATGATAATAGCTGGCTCTGCTCTTACCTTTCCTTTCCTACTGCGTTTGACCAGCTGTATGGTGGTTACAGAATTCACAAACTCTCCCTGGCAGTCTTCTGCAGGAGATACTTTGTCTTTTACTTTCAGCTTTTGCTGGATATCTAGAGGTTTATCTGCTTTTGGCTTTTTGGAAGTGAAATTAGAACAAAGGAAGAAAGTCATATGAATCTTTTCATAATCCCTTCTGTTTGCCTATCTTTTCTCTGTATTGCTGTGATAATGTAGTATCTTGTTCGTTGCTTGAACATAGATGCAATATGTGCATTTTAGCACTTGTGGAATTGGGACCGTTCTGAGCATGGTGTTGTTTGTAGGGCAGCTGTCTGGCCAGAACCAGCACACTGTTGGGACTCTGGACTTGGGAGGAGCCTCAACCCAAATCACATTCCTGCCACAGTTTGAGGTGAGGAGCGGTTACAAGTGTGCGGGTTGGGACTGCAAGGCCAGCGGAGAGACCTGAGCGCTGCTGTGCTCTCTGAAATCACTTTGTCAGCACTGGCACAAGCAGAACATCTGTGGCGTACAGAACATCTGTATTTCTGTTCCCTTTGACATCAGCAGTTGGCTGATAGGCGCTTGTAAACAAAGGAGCTTGGATAGCAACAAAGAAAAAAGAAAGCAAGCAAATGGGTAAAACCAAAGAGAAAGGGCTTTTGTTTTCTAGACCCAGGCTGGGGAAGTCCCATTAATGTAGAAAATTACTTTGTATTCAATGAATGTAGAACACTCTCAGGGAGTATTTTTGCATTATTACAAGAAATTTAGGGTCTGCTCTGAGTTATCCTTTAGTTATCTTCCCCTCGGCTCCATCCGCCAAGACTGATAGCAGATCCTCACTAAATTTGGGAGGGCTAGGAGAGGCAGAGTGGAGGGGGGTGCCTCATGGGGCAAATGTCTTCATGATAGCACAGCCAGTCCCTCTTTGTTTTCTTCTTTGGGAATTCCTCTTTCCCTCAGTCCATCTCTGCTGGATTTGTCAGGAATTCTATAGCTCTGTAGAAACAGCTTGGACTGGGACCCAAGTCTAAAGTTTGCATGGGAAATCACATGGGTATTGGAAGGGCACTACAGAGTTCTGTACCTTGATAGTGATTGGTTTTGTCCCTCTTTCTGAAGGAGTCCTTTATTTAACGTTTTTTGTTTACAGGAATTGAGATTCTCAAAGGGTGTTTGGGGAGCACAAAACACATGGTTTTCATATCAGGGTATTTTAATTCTGCAACGGCGGGTCATGTTGAAACATGACGTGCAACCTTATCCTGTTCAGCAAAGCCTGAAGTACTCCGGACTTGCCCTCTGTTTTGTGTTGATAACACCTGCTGAAGTGGGCACTGGACCAACAGGAAAGGGTGTTGCATGCCAGGGTTTTGGAGAATAAATAGAGCTGTGAAGTAGGCTGAGCTGCAGCTCAGGATTCAAACTTCTCCTTCGACCCTTGCAGCAAAAGGCCTTGGGGATTTTCTGCTGAGCAGGACCAGTGGTGCGAATTAGTAGGGCAGTGTGGAGTCAAGGTTCACGTTGCCTGCTGGTATGCTGTATCTGCTGCTCATCTCTATCACCATGCTCATAGAAAAAAGCACATGCATAGCTCAGTCAGTTTCTGAAGAGTTTTTCCTGTCTGCCAGAATTAGCAGGGATTTCACCCTTTGGTTTGCAGCAGGGTTTGTTTTTTTTTTTTCCCCTTCCTGCAATCTGAGGCAGTCACTTGTTTACTCTTGTATTTGTTTTGAACAAAATACCGTAATAATAAGAGATTAATTAATGAAATACAGATTACAAGTAAATAGAGGACATGTAATGGTAGCTGTGTGGAGGTGTGTTTAAGGTAATGTTATGCTTTTCAAGGTATTATTGCCAAAGTTATAAATAACTAAAATCACAATCATTATGAAATTGTGATATTACATCAAAGTTGGTTATTTTTCATTGCATAATAAAAACTAAAAGATTTTTTCTTTTACTTAACTTTTAGGAAACTTTGAAGGAAACCCCTGGTGATTTTCTTACCTCATTTGAAATGTTTAACAGCACGTACAAGCTCTATACCCACAGGTGAGGAGCAAAAGGCTGCTGTTTCTGCTGGGAAAATCAGTCTTTCTGCAGCCCCTGAGCTAACCACAAATGGCTATGTCATCCTGTTACCAGCTGTTGGGACCATGACTAGTTTTTTTTAATAATTTTCTTATCTGCTTGAAACATTAGTTGAAGTGGAACACAACATTAGTTGACTGGAAACATTCCAGGATCATAGTTAGTATCACTGCAAGGCACTTAAATTAGTCAGTCTGTCAAATGAAGAGGAAGCATTATGACTCGCTATATGTAAGGAGAAGAATTCTTATTACTGGAATCAAGGCAAATATTCTGGACCAAGCGGAAAGGCGGATATCGTGCCAGTAGTCAGAACTAAATCTGATCAGACATTTGGAAAGAGGACCTTCCTGAAATTTTTTCCTTCTTAGTTCGAAATGGCACGTCTCTTCAGCAACTGGACAAAAAGTAAAACTTAGACTGACGTAAACCAAAGAGACAATCACAGGCAGCTGATGCAGACCATGGAGCACAACAGATTATTGAACCAGTTGGAGAGGATACTTGGCCTGGAATAATATAATTGTGCTTACTGCATTCAGCTAACAAGTTTCTGAGGTGTTTGCAGTGAAACCTGCGTGTCTTACAGTCCAATGAGAACTCAGCCATGTGTAACAGAGTTGGTCTCAGCCTGTTCTTAGTGGGGTGAAGACTATCATCTCCATCAGTTACAGAATATGCTTACTTGACAGCAAAGCTGATTTAATAGTCCTCCTCTCCTACTGCTTACTTTTACTGATGTAACTGATTGCTGTATTCACCAAGAGTGTCCTTTAGATCACTTCAAGTAATTGGGATTGAAAGTCATCTCCTAAGAAATGAGGGAGCTGGAGGTTAGTTTAACTGTGATTATTCTGTAATGTTTGTATTGACATGACTAAAGGGATAAGTAGCCAAACACAGAGATGGGAATGAAAGTTTTTAATCTAGCTGTGTTGCTGAAGCCAGCAACATGTAATGACATTCTCAGAAATGTTGTTCACGTCCTGGCTGGTAATGAGTATAGCAATAATCTCTGGAGTCAAACAGGGGTGAATTTCACACAAAGGCACAGCTCCCATTTAGTGGGAAATTCTCCAGCTTCCTGTTAGTTCTGCCCTAAGAGCACATAGTCTAATGTGTGTGACATAAGAATGGCCACCCTATTCCTCATGCACTCTTCACATACCCTTCTTTCTCCCTCATTTTTAAGATTGTGCATTTTTGCTTTTCATGAATATTTTGTAGAAATGTCACATCAGCTCTAACCACTTTCTGCAGTTTTAGATTTACCCATTTTACAGAATTGTAATTCTTGGGTTTGTGTCTTTTGGTACTTTTGGAATTGGTCTGGCAAAGGGAACTCTGTTTTAGAGAGGAGAGACTTGTGGGAAGCAGAGGGAGGAAATTTGGTTTGGATTTTCCAGGATTTAGGAAGAGGCTATGGGTGAAGCATACCAGATGTGCAAGAATTAAAACTGTAATGTCTGTCTTTGTTGTTTGCAGCTATTTGGGGTTTGGACTAAAAGCTGCCAGACTAGCAACGCTCGGAGCTTTGAATATGGAAGGTATGTTCATATGATGAAACATCTAAGATTTTTGAAGAGATGGTTAGACTTAGTCTTGGGTCAGCAGCCTTTTTCCTGTGTCTTCACTATCTCATGATTTTCTGTGTTTTCACTGGCACAGATCTGTCTGGAAGCTGGCTACCACTTGTTAAGGAGTTGTCTTGCCAGACAGCTGCTTTTCCCTGTTTCCAGGTTCAGCCAGCAGCAAGACTGAGTGCAAATTCCAGACATGCACATGTGGGGCCTTACAAACACCACATAGAGGTGGCCAGCCGCAAACACACAGCTTCACAGGCACCCACAGAAACACAAACAGCATGGGCAGGTCCTGCTCCTAAGGATTGCTGCTTAGGCCAAAGCCACTTTATCGGTCTCTTTGGTATCGGCCTGGCCCACCATCTTCCCCCAGACCTTCTGTTGTGTTCACTGACTAGTCTAGCTTGAAGTCCACGAGTATGTCACACACACTGTCACTCACTGACCTGAATGCATATTCCCATTCCTGAGCCTTGCCAGTCTGACCCAAACCTTAAGTCCTTCCAGTCTTCATGCCCAGACCTTGGGCCTTTTGTCTTGCCTCTAGCCGGGACCTGGGGTATTTCCACCTTCTGGATTCTTACTTGCCAGCTAGATGGACTTGTGTTAATTACTGGAGTGTACTCAAATCAAAAACATTTGGGAATAGGATTTAAGAAGAAGACAGAACACACTGCAGTGGTTGGTCACACGGCTCAGCCAGAAAAGCATTACTGACCAGCTGCCTGCTTAGTTGTAATTGCCTTCTTTTATCATCCCCTCTGTTTTCCTGCACTTATGCTTCCCTCGTCCCTTGATTCCTCCTTTCCCTGCCTTTGAACCTTCCCCTAAACATCCCGTAGTAAATTTTGCACAGTCCCACAACCCCCCTCAACCATTCTGTAAGAGGTTTGCTTTTTCTGTGAGACCTGGCCATAATAGTCATGTTTTCCTCTCACCAGTATTTCTGGCTGAACCCTTCAGGGGTCCCACATTCAGTAGATCCTGTAGTGGTCATTGATCAGCATCTTGGGAGGTTTTTGTCTTCATTGCTCATTTCTTTTGTTTGTCTCAGTTATCTGCTGTTCATTAGGGCTTGTGTATCTGTGTGTTTAATTTATTACCTCCCTTGTTTCTTGTGGTGAACAGCCATTACCCAGATACCCTTATCTCTCATTAACAAATGATAAGCCCAGCTGCTCTGCAGCTTGCAGGACAAAATGGACACAGCTTTCCCAAACTGAGACTGGTCCTTCATAATCAGTTTGTGCAGCATCCATCAATTCAGATTTCTGCACTTTTGCTTAGAGACCTTAATGAAGATCTTTCAGCCTTTTCTTTTCTGGTTCTGCATATTGATCAATAACTATGTTAAATTTTATCCTTTCTGAGTCTTCCCTCTCGTTTCATTCCAGCTGTGGATGGGCAAATGTTCCGCAGTTCTTGTTTGCCAAAGCAGCTGGAGGCAGAGTGGCACTTTGGGGGAGTGAAATACCGCTATGGTGGCAACAAAGAAGGTAAACTAAGGAGACTTGTTGCTTCTTGTAAGATAAGTCTTGTCTCCAGAATCTGAGCTTTTCCTTTGCAAATATTCCATCTTGAGTTATGAAAGATACCTGTGCAGTTACAGATGTGGACTTTTGACTGAGCCAAAGAAAAACCTGAAGCTGTAAGAGTAGGTGGCCTATACTGTCCATACTCTGGCTGTGATCTCTTATTACAAATGCTACCTTTACAGGAAGTGTTAAGAGTTTTTTGTGCTAATAAGAGAGTTTTTTTCTGAGACTTTGAGCCACTGATTCTTCCATCTCCTGGACATAGCTCTCTGGTTCACCACATCTGTGTTCATCCTGACAGGAGAAACAGGATTCAAGCCTTGCTACTTGGAAGTTCTCAAGGTTGTCAAAGGAAAACTGCACCAACCAGATGAGATTCGTGGAAGTTCATTCTATGCTTTCTCCTACTACTATGATCGCGCAGTTGACACCAACCTAATTGGTAAATTGGTTTGAGATGGTCTACTAGATGTGAGCATGTCAGCCAGGAGGTACACAAAGGTACCCTGGAGGCTGGGGCCACAGGGAGCAGGGAAAAGGAGTGGTGTTGAGAAAGAGGAAATACTTTCTGAGAATGAATGCTGTATCTGTCAGTGCAGTTTGATGTTCAGAGTTCAGCAGATGAGACTTGTGCTCTGAGCTCCAGTTATACTTGCAGCTCTGGCCTCTGTTATCAACCGATCTCACTCGTAGCCCAGCATCACCCAGTTGCATTCTAGGGTCAACTTAGATATTGAACACAAATGCTTTCAGGTCTATGATGATGTTTTCTTGCCTCTTCAGATTATGAACAGGGAGGTGTCCTGGAAGTGAAAGATTTTGAAAGAAAAGCCAAAGAAGGTAAGTGTCATGAGACTTGGGAAACTGGCGAGGACGAGAAATAACAAAAACATGAATGTCTGTAGGCAATACATAGTGTGAGTTTGACCTTTAAAAAAAAAAAAAAGTTTGTTTAACCTTTATTCCACTTATGCCTTCCCTGTCATGTTACTTAGCTTTTATTGGCCAACACCTGTAACTGTTGCAGAAGAAAGTACTGAAGAACAGTGAGGGGAAACAAAGTGTTAGCAGCTTGGCAGTTCTGCTCAGGAGAGGAGGAAGATAGTTCATCAATGTCAGTAAAAAAGAAAGTTAATTTGCTGTATCAAGAGCTCCTCCTGTCAAACTGCAGCTCTCTGATACTAGCAGAAAGCTGACTTCTAGAAGTCAGTCACCTTAAAGCCTTTTTAGAATCTAACAAAATGGAGGGAGAGAGCAAAGGTTGTTTAAGCCTGACAGCCTCTTCTGCATTCCTTTCCCTCCCCCTGACTTTTTCCTGAATACTTGTTCTGGTTTTGTACCTCATGAAAAAAGAGCTCCCACCTTGCCATGCTACTGATGGCTAAAACTTTAGCTTACAGAGCAAGATGTTACCTCTGAATTATGGTCATCCTCATGATGATTGGTAGACGTATTTATCACCATAATTATGTAGTTCAGGACTGACTTTTTTCAAAAATAGGGCCTAAATTTTAATGATTTTTCAGTTAAACTTAATCTCCCTGAAGACCCAGTTTTTTAATAGGGGGATTAGGCTCTAAAGTTTGTGCTTGTTTTGTTTCCCTGGGTACTGGGAGAACTTATTTCCAAAGAAGCAGCTGTTATCTAACACCATCAAACCATTTATTTAGCTTTAGAGCATCAGGAGATCAACTCTGTCATCCTAAATTAATGCTTCTCTTTCTCATTGCAATAGTAGGATGCTGCTGCTTATCAGTTTCTAAAAATAAGTGAACTCTGTCCTTGATGCTTGTAGGACAGGGCAGTAATGGTAGGTCCAGAAGACAACACTTACTGTAAATCCTTTTCCCAGTCACTGTCACCCTTACTGTGGAATCTTGAGGGATCTGCCTCCTGCAGCGAGGGAGCAGTTGGTTGGGCAATAGCCTCTTCCATGTCCTTGGACATGTGTGGTTGAAAAAAACACAAAAGAAGCTGCCAGTGTACAAGGTGGACTCCATTACTGGAGCCATCCTTGGAGACTGGTGAGGAAGACAAATGATGCTGTGTTTTTGAAAGACTAAGTAATAACAAACTCCCTGCCAGTTATCAGTCGAGCAGAGATACAGACTTCAAAAGAGCTATGTGGATTATGCTGCTGTAATAAAAATGTACTTATGATGGAGTTAACTATATAGTACTTCCAGTTTCTCTTTGTTCTCCAACATTATAAAACAGCTGTGTTGCGTGTACCATGTGTCATATGCACCCGTTAATAGAAGTGGGTGGCTGGTTTTAGTAGGCTTTGGCTTGAGGTCAGTTTTAATGTATAATGTAGATGAAAGCTCCTTTATTTTGCTGAGATTCCTTTTTTTTCTCCTCTAGTCTGTGATAACATGGAGAGGTACAACTCATCCAGTCCCTTCCTCTGCATGGATCTCACTTACATCACTGCTTTACTAAAGGAAGGTTTTGGATTTAGGGACAACACGCTCTTACAGGTGAGAAAAACAGTTAAATCCCAAAGCCAGGTTCCAGATTTCTCTTATCAACATGCAGTAGTTATTTTTTCTGGCTAGTTGTTACATTGTAGTTGCTGTCATCTGTGCAATATATCAGTTTGGAGAACTGTTGGGAACAACTTCTTTTTCTTCCTTTATAGTTAACAAAGAAAGTGAACAACATAGAGACAAGCTGGACTTTGGGTGCTACCTTTCACCTGCTGCAGTCTCTGGGGCTAACCTATTGAGCTGTGACATTCCCGTGGACTTCAGCATTTCTGAAAGGCTGAGAAAGCAAAGCAAACTGAAATCTCCAGGTACGTTGTTCAGCTGGAATTGGTCACGAAGCAGAACGTGGACCTCAGCTATAGAACAGATCTTCAACCCGGATTGGCATCGTGAATAATGGGAGTTGCCATGGTATGATTTATAATTGTGATTGCCATAAATGATCCAGGAGCTGCCTTCTGAAAGTCAAAAGGCCTAAACTCCAGCAGAGTATCCGCAAGGGGCTCAAAACCAGTTTCACCAGCACGTTTGTCTAGCGTCCCTTTGCTAGAAGCACAGAGTACCTGGGACAAGGTGGCAGGCTACAGACACGTGACTTCCCCTCCCCCTTTTATGTTAAACATACATAACTTAAGTTTTCTTGTGACATGTTAAGTACAGAAATTAAAGGTAGTATCAGCAATCGTTCAGAGAAAAGTGAACGACTCTGGGTGCTCCCAGCCTCAGCGTTTCAAGTACCTGGCTGTTGGTTTAGCTAATCCCTTGCAAGAAGACTCCAGTCTTTCAAGAAGGGGCCTGCTATAAGCACACTTTGGGCATGGTTTTGGGAAAGGTGTTGGCTAAAGCATAGGTTGTAACTTACCAAGCATTTCTCCGGGCAGCAGTCATTTCCTAAGCAGAATGTGTTCCTGACTGTGTGCGTTCCTTTTTGCTGCCCTTTACACTTCTGTGGAGCTACATCTGGCTACCAGACCCCATAACTTGATTCATTTAGCATGTAGTCATAACACGTAGTTGTGCTGGCACAACCAGGCAGCAGCGCCAGCTATTTAAACTTCACTGCCAAAAGAAATGCTTGTCACATTACACCCACAAGGAAATTAAGGGTGCAGTCAGATGCAGTGGCTGATCTGACGGCTCACTTCGCCGTAGGAGACAGTTCTGTTTCTCTGCTCTCAGCAAGGCGCTCCCAGAGCTGCCTTTCCTCTGATGCTGGTGCTCCTCAGGTTCTTTGGTGAACTAATTCATGACACCAAACGTGAGCTAACTCAGCTCACCCAAGAGTCATGTCTGGCTGGCACGAGGGAAATAGGCGTTGCCCAGCCTGGGGAGACCTGCTGGGCCAGCGAGCTGTTAGACCACCACAGCCAATTTTGTCGGGATGACTCTAAGCTGTGGTTTTCTATCTGAAAGTTGGGGCTTATCGCTTCCTGCCCCCTCCTGAGGAACCTCCTCTGAACGCAGAGCTGTGGTGAAACAAGTTGTTTTTTCAGTTGTTTAACAGATGAAAGTAGATAGAGTGGAATTAGCATCAGAAACAGAGGGAGAACAAGAGCAGATGTAGCTTTGCTTTCTTATCCCTTGTTCGCTTATCCCTTGTTCATTTTAAATTGTTTTAAATTTCATTTCTCCTTAATTGGACACATAAAATGCTGTATGCAGCCCTGCATCGATCTAGAAATGGGATGACTCTAAGCTGTGGTTTTCTATCTGAAAGTTGGGGCTTATCGCTTCCTGCCCCCTCCTGAGGAACCTCCTCTGAACGCAGAGCTGTGGTGAAACAAGTTGTTTTTTCAGTTGTTTAACAGATGAAAGTAGATAGAGTGGAATTAGCATCAGAAACAGAGGGAGAACAAGAGCAGATGTAGCTTTGCTTTCTTATCCCTTGTTCATTTTAAGTTGTTTTAAACTTAATTTCTCTTTAATTGGACACATAAAATGCTGTATGCAGCCCTGCATCGATCTAGAAATATTTCAATGACATTCAGCAGGGCTTTAGGTGCAGTGCATCCAACAAAGGGGGTTGCAGCTGTTTAAGAAGGCCAAGACTTCTGTCAGGATAGCATGAAGCTACTTGAGTAACAATTTAAAGTCAGTCTTGCCATCTCTTTCATACCAAAGGCATAGAAGCAATGAAAGATCAATATTTTAAATAAAGTGTCTTGTCAGATAGGCTAGAAAGTTTGCCTGTAGGATCCTGGTTTCCTTGTTGAATTGGTTGTAGAGAAGAAGATTGCTCCAGTATCTCGAGGCTCCAAGTGCAGACCTTGCATTGTCTTAAATAGAACCACTGGGGAGACTAGTTTTTCCACCCCATTAAACAGCTGGCAGCTGGCTCATCAAAAATTAGTGTCTTCTACTCAGCATGGAAGGGTGTAAGGTAAAGATGGATTTACCCCTGTCATGAGAGCAGTATTACTGACGTGACTAAGGGAAGCTTTTATCCACTGATCTCTCCTGGTGAACACTTTCGCAGTCACCTGTTTGGTTTAACACACCTTTCCCACTTCCGTAAAACCAAAGACTGCCCTCGAGGCACCTTCTCTGCAAACTGGATTTGAAAATAATTGGCGATTCCCAGAAGGGGAGGAAGTAGCACGCTCATGCCCTCACTCATCTTGCCAAGCAATTTGGAGACTTAGAAATTTGCCTTACTGTGAACATTGGTCAGCAGCGCAGGTCTGACTGTGCCTGATGAAGCTCCCCCTTCCCATATCTCAGGTTTTACAGCGCTAGGGTGCAAGGCCTGCTTGTGATTGAACAGGTTCAGTCAGCAACAGGAGTCCACGGGTCAGGGATGGAGCTACCGATACTTGTCCCACCGCTGACACCTTGCTGTTAATTCAGGCTGTTTCTTTGAAACATGAAATGTTCCTCCTACCTGTCCAAAATCTGTTTTAAGATGCGTGTTGGGAAATTCCTCAGTGTCACACCGAAGTTCTGTTCCTTCCTCACTAAGAGCTTCCGTTTGAACACAAAGTAGTTGCGGCCTCTTCTTAACCAAAAACATTTCGTATTTCCCTTCCTGGTGTTTGGCAAAACTTTGTACATGGTCTGGTCTGCACAAGGTGACTGCAAACGCATTCATTTTGTCTGTGAACAATTCTATTTGCTTTTGTATTCTCAGAGAACACAAAGCAGGATGCAGTGGTTACCAGCCAGGCCGTGTTACAGCTGAGAAGTAGCTAATTTAATAATCCAAAAGCCTTCTCTCAGTCTGAGCCAGTGCTGTGACAAACTCTTACTAGATCTCGGGGCAGAGCCACAAGCAGCGAGGCCGTGTTTGAAAGGGGAAGGGAAGGTGGGATGTTGCATGTAAGGAAGAAGCAGCAGCCTGTCTGCCAACTGAATGGACACTGGCTCTGAGGGGTACTGAAGGGTTTGGCTTTGCCTGAAGGGAGGGTGGTCAAGAACAAGACAGGTACCATGCAGAGGAACCTTCTGTTCTGTGTTCTTTGCCTCAGGACTCTGGTACCACAAACGCTAGGTGGGAGCATCTGCTTCCCAGCACCAAAGTTGCATTAAATCTGAATGCTCAGGGCCTTCCTTTGTCAGTGGCACAATTCATTAACTGAAGCAAAACTGCTGCTCTCTATCAGGGGCCTGATCCTGCAGTCATGAGAGAAACTAGAACTCTGCTCAAAGGTTTCTTTTGGAAAAAAAATGCAGAATTGAGCCCCTGCTGTTTACATCTGAACTACTCGAGGTGGGTGGGGGATCTAGAGAAGCCAGTCAAGTCCTCACACTTACCCTAGTGCAATGAGATTATTTATTAGCCTAACTAAAGCCTAAGGAGCCTTTAATGAGAAGAGTTCTACTTGCAGGCCTGATTTTTATCTCCTCCTTCGTTATGTCTTTTAGCCAGTCACTAACAGGAACCGCCTAATAGGAGTGACTGATGAAGCACAAGTAATGGCTTTCAGTTGAAACCTTATGTTTCATTCTTTTTGATGTTAATTCCTGATACTGGGCAGCCATATGTGGAAATCATGCCCATGGGCAGTGCTCGCCTCATTTTGTGAGTGTCAAATGTCTAATGCAGGAGGCTGGTGTTTGGAACCTAAGACAGAATACCTTAAATATCTATTTTAGTAATTAAAGCATTTTTAACAATATTCAAGACATTGTGGTGCAGTTTTCTTTCTAGATATTATTCTTGTCTTGCGTCTCTTTTTTATGGAGCCCTTAAGACTAGCCAGTTCATAAGAAACAACATTATTAAATAAAACATTAAGAAGAGGGCAGGGAAAAGAGTGAGAGAGAGACAGATTTCAGCTTTAAAATGTCTGCCACCATGAGTTGTCTCCCTCTGCTGAAAACTACCCCTCCTTTCTGAGTCCAGGAAGTGCTGAGAAGCCAGCAGTGACACTGCAGCTCTAGAAATCGCATCAGAGAAAACAGTAAGTAATTAACCACCAAAATTTGTAGCTGGCAGAATTCAGCACTGCATTTGCCAAAAGCCAGCTTTTTCCACCTCAGTCTTCAATTCAAAAAAGGCCCAAATTAGAAGCAGAGATAGTTCTGTGGCTGGAGACATCATGGTACAGAAGGAGAAGACCCTACGTCCTCTTGAGAAGAGCAGATGAGACAGAACTTTTGCATAAACCACTGGATGATGTACTACACATCTCAGTTTTATTGTTAAATTAAAATAACACAATCCAAAGATTCAAGTCTGTCACAGTCCTTTTAAGGGCAATGCATTCACGGGCAAACTGCTGTTCCGAACTGGCAACAGATCATTTGCTGGCAAAAGCCATGATTTGCTCCTAAAAGAGGAGAAGAAAAAGATAAGTAACTCATAAACTGGTACGAAGCATACATTCTAGAAAGCAGCTATAGTCTCCTTCCCTGTTATATTACACAGACAACAGTTCATTAGCCTTTCTAGCCAAGTGCAGAGCACCCGCCCCTGTACACTAGAAAATTAAAAAAGATGCAGTTACTGCGCCTCAGGAATTTACTGCTCTTCAACTCAGTGTCTTAATGTGACCATAATGCAAAGGAGACTGCTGGTGACTTCATTTGTGGAATCCAACATTCAAATCCAGAAATGAGGAAGCTCATTTAAGACTGAATCTCCTCACCACTGCCTTCCTCAGGTAACTTCCATTATAGAGACCCACACTTCTGCCATGAGAGAACAATTTCACAAGGCAAAACAGCACACAAACAAGTAACTCGTTTGAGCTGCACATCACGGATTCAAGTCACCTGATGTCTTATTCTTAGTGAAGATGTGACTTCATAGGACTGGTTTTCATGGTGCATTTCTGGAATGCAGTTACAGGTTCCACATTCTCATTCCATAATGAAATAAAGCCAAAGACTTCTAATGACTTCTAACCTCTAACTACAGAGTACACATAGATCCCTTGTCTTCCCCTGTGCTGCAGGAGAAAACAGTTACTACTGAGCTATCAGTTATTTAGGAACTCATCAGGATCATTCAGGACACAAAATATCTGTTTGAACAAGTTAAAATTTTCCTACCAAAAAATGTTTCATAAAAATAATCTCCACCAGGTTGCATCTGTTTCAAAGGTAGTTCAGCCCTCAGTAAAGTGAGATTCTTACTTTGACAGGAGGCAGGGCATTTGTTGCTTGCAATCCCCATGTCCTCAGCAGCACCAAGGGAGCCAGCCTTGTGGAGTAAAGCCTCTTTAGCAGATCAATAGCTGCCATCAAGGAGACGTTGTGCCTCTGACGTTCTGTCTCAAACTGTAAAAGATGTTTTAAGGAGCCTGGAAGAGATAGTTGAATGCTCCTGTTAAAACTGACTTGTCACAAACAATTGTGTATCATAGAATTGTCTAGGTTGGAAGGGACCTTGAAGATAATCTAGTCCAAACATCAATATAGTTTACATTTATATATAAATATGGTTTACATTTATATAGCCGTCTCCACTGACAACTGAAAACACAGAAAGAGAAGAAAGAAATCATTCTTCCACCAGCTAGTGGTCTTCATCTCACCGCCTCTTTAACTACCATCCTGCAGAACTTGTTTTTTCTTTAAAGCAGCTTTGAGATTTATGGGACAGAAGCTGCATTCAAGAATCTTTAACTGCTCCACAGCCAACGGACATGGGAACAGTTTTGTTTCAAAGATGTTTGTGCCTTTGAAACACGGGATAGGAGCAGGCTTAACCTGCAGCCGAGGTAACACTTGTCCTGATGTTGGAAATGAAGCCTGTAAGAGATTAATCGTCTTACTGCTGCTTTGTGGTCTTGGATCCTTACCCAGATCGCTCCCATTGAAGGCTGCTGCACTGAGGTGATGAGCTAAACATGCAATATCACCAAAGCCCAGGTTTACACCTTGTCCTGCGAGTGGGTGGACTCTGTGCGCTGCGTCCCTGGAGGAAGAGAAGACAGAAATTTATATCCCTTCTTGAAGGGGACATCATGAATACAAAGAAGAAGTGTGATATCCTTGAATAGAAACAAAATCAGGTTTTTTATGAGCAGATTTATCTGTAAAGGACAAAGCCAGACATATTGATGAGGGAGTCTTAAAGTTGGAGAAATGAAACAGAGTTCGGGTATGAAATGTAACACCATGCATTTTAACAAGCTATAAAGCACAGAATGCTCCCAAGCAGAGCAGCTCACAAGCTGGAAAGATGAAAAGTAACTGAAGTGTAACACAGCATCTAGGAATTCCTACAAGCTATCAGT